GTGCCCTGCAGGTACAAGAGGTACCAGATGGGGTGCTTGTGCACCCTCCCCTGAAGACTTTTCAGGGCACAGATGACTCCTTCCTCTCCCCAAAACCCATTCCCAAGTTGGTCGTCCCTCAGAACTCAGACAGCTTAGGACCTGGCTGTCCTGAGAGTTCAGAACACTTGGTTTGTGGAAACAGTGTCATGATCCAAACTTCCACCATGTATGTGCATGTGCCTCCATGATGATTTTTGTCACATCCATGCACCTCTTATGTTGTTTCATATTTTTCCTTAAATAGGTTCTCTCTCCCCTCCTTTTTTTTAACTTTAAGAAATTAATTTTTGCACTAGCCAGTTTTGCGCAGTGGTTAGAGCGTTGGCCGGANTTAACTTTAAGAAATTAATTTTTGCACTAGCCAGTTTTGCGCAGTGGTTAGAGCGTTGACCGGAAGACTGAAGGGTCCCAGGTTTGATTCCAGCCAAGGGCACATACCTTGGTTGCAGGCTCAATCCTCAGCCCCAGTCAGGGCACATGCAGGAGGGAACCAATCGATGTGTCTCTCTCACATCAATGTTCCTCTCTCCTCTCTCTCTCCCTGCCTTCCATTTTCTCTTAGCAACGGAAAAAATATCCTTGGGTGGGGATTAAAAAAAATTAATCTTGGGAAACATTTATTATTACTATCAATGGAAAACCTATGTTGATGACTTAAATAGAAGGTAGTTACTGAGATACGCACAGGGCAAACTGCAGTATTAACTTCTAGCTGGAACCTATGTCCTTCCAAAGGTGCTAAGCCTGACCCCTGCTGGCTAAAAAGGGAGACTCACCAGTGTTAAGTGTTAAAGATGAATGAGCACTGATCTGAGACTTCCTCTTTGGTGTCAAGTAATAAATGATTTTAATGAGAAGCATTAAAATCTTTAGGATGCAAGCCTGAAATTTTATAATCATGTGCCCTGTACTTTAGGAAACAGCATTTTCTTTTATACTGTAGTCAGGGTCTCAGGCTAGTCCTGGCAGCCCAGTTTACCCCTGAGGCAGTGCAGCAAGGCCTCAAGGTTAGGTCTGAGTGCCTCTGATAGCTAAGGGGGAGGAGGGGGTGGGCAAGGCCAATGGGCAGGTCCGGGCCTGCTGGCTTCAACTACTCTTCACTACCCACAGGTGGTTCGTAAATCAAGGTTCCATAAATCAGGTGAGGTGGTCTATCCAGCCACCTCCCAAAGGGAAGGTCAGGAGCAATGAACCTTTAGGGACCCTCTGGTCCACTTCCCCTGCCCCCACTCCACAGGTGGGGAAACAGGCAGGAGAGGCTGAATGACCTGGCACAACATCACTCAAAGCTCAAGTGTTAAAACTTCCTTGAGAGATTTGAGCAAGAATGACCTTCCCCATTTAGAAATAGGAGGACCTCTGGGAGGAAGGGAGCGGTTCCAGGCCCTACAGCCGGCCAGGGCCATGTCCCAGATGCCCACTTTTCCCAGCACTCACAGGATTTTTTCCAGAGCCAGGCAGAGCACGAAGTTGGCAGCAAGGGGCTTGCTTGGCAGCCTGGTTTTCAATTTCAATGAGATTGAAAACCAGGCTGGGGAAGGAGAAGGGATCAGATAGAGGTGTCTGAGTCACGGCTACCTCCCCAGTTCCCCTCTCCCCATGCTGTAATCTGAACAGGGGTAAGCAGAGTGACCAGGGTCCAGGGCATGTGGGAGTCTTAGAAAAGTGCCCCTTTTAGCCCAAGGCTCCCCCTGGACCTGAGGCCTCTGTCTGTTCAAAGGCCTTCCCAGGTGTCAGAGAGGGCTGTCCCCCACCCCCCTCAGCTCCCCAGGAAGTCAGGGGAGGCTACTTACTCTGCCTAACTAATGGGAGCCCCTGACAGAAATGTGGGACCTGTCGGGCCAGGCTGCAGGGCAGAGACACACCTGTGAAAGGAACCCCCAGACACTCCCTAGCCTGTACCACAGCCAGTCCCCCTGCCCAGGCTCCACGGCTCCTACTCACCGAATCTCTTCCAAATGTGCGCATCTATCCAGGGCCTGGCCCAGGGCGGCCTGGCTGAATGAGTTTCACGTGGGTTCCACAGTTCAGGCAAATAGTTTCTCCAGACATCTTTTGCTAATCTGTGCAAATGGTGGGCTTTTCCTTAAACCCAGTCTATTGTCTTTTCTGAACCCTGGCTGAGCCCTGGGCTCTGAGTGGGGGAAAAAAAACAGGTGATGCAAACTTAGTCCCGCATTAAATATTTGTCTGGGGGTTGTTTTGTTTTGCAAATTAAACTTTAGCTAACTGCCTTCCTTTAAATATGGGTGAAATGACCTGCTCCCACATTATATACACCCCAAATTCTCTGACCTCATTTCCCACAGACTACACTGCTGTGTGGGAGAGGGTGGGACTTGCATAAAAACAAAGCAATGCTTTGTGTCATGCTTGGGTTTTTAGTCATCATGTTTTATATTTTGAAAAATCACATGAAAAGAGTGATATCTGTTTATCAAAGTGGCCAGGGATACAGGGAAGACTATCAGGGTCACCAGATCTGAAATTCAACTGGTGTGCTGCACGAATTTTTATTTTATTTTATTTCTTTATTGAGTTCAGAGAGATGAAGGGAGGGAGAGATAGAAACATCAGTGATGAGTCATTGATTGGCTGCCTCCTGCACGCCCCCTACTGGGGATTGAGCCCAACACCTGGGCATGTGCCCTGATAGGGAATTGAACCCGTGATCTCCTGGATCATAGGTTGATGCTCAACTGCTGAGCCACACTGGCCGTGCCAGGCCATCTTTTATGAAGAAAAAAAAATCCAGCATGACTCAGGGTAGAACCAAGAAGACCCCAGTATGCAAACATGCTACTTGGAAGCAGAAACACACTTAAACTGGATTCTATAATATACAACAATGCAATCTACTGAATATCATCGCTTCCCAATCACTGCAGAGAAAAGCTGAGAGAAATTGATACATTACAATCTTTTCTTAGAACTAAGTCTTCAAAACCCCATGTGTATTTTACACTTAACACCATTTTAATTTGAAATAGCCACACTTCCAAGTTTTTAATAGGTCTATTTCAAGTGGTCAACATGTTGCTAGCAACTATTTTTTTTTTTTTTTTAGGATGTATTTTTATTGATTTTGAGAGAGAGGAAGGGGGAGAGAAACACTGATATGAGAAACATCCATTGGTTGCCTACTGTACGTGCCCCAACCAGGGACCAAACCCACAATCTAGGTATGTGCCCCGACAGGGAACGGAAACTGCAACCTCAAAAATTTGGTGTATGTGACACTGCAACCAACTGAGCCACCCAGCCACTATCAACTATCTTATTACACAATACAGATCTATCCATTGATCTCCACACCTAGTGGTAATTGCTTTTAGTCATTCTTTAAATATATGAAGTACTATGGGACAGGCACTATAACAGATATAGCAATAGGTTAAATAAAGTCTGGACCCTCATTCTAAATTTCTCAAATACATTATAGCATGTTTAATACCCCACCGTCTAGAGCTTTGGCAACATCCACAAGTTTTGATATACAGGCATTTAAAAAAATCATTCAAACTGCTTATACCATTGCATAATTTTATCTTTTAAAGATTATAGAAAATTTAAGACATAAAAGTAGAGAAAATAGCAAAAACCAAATATACAATAACAATGTACCCAAGTATCTTACCACTTTTTTAAAAATATATTTTTATTGACTTCAGAGAGAGGGAGAGGGAGAGAGAAACATCACTGATGAGAGTCATTGATTGGCTGCCTCCTGCACAGCCCCTCCTGGGGATAGAGCTGGCAACCTGGGCATGTGCCCTGATGGGGAATTGAACCACGACCTCCTGGATCATAGGTTGATGCTCAACCGCTGAGCCACGCTGGCCAGGCTCCTACCACCTTTTAAAAAATATTTGATTGATTTGAGAGAGAGGGAAAGAGAGAAACATCAATTTGTTGTTCCAGTTATTTATGCATCATTGGTTGCTTCTTGTATGTGCCCTGACCAGGGATCAAACCTGCTAACTTGGCGTATCCGGACAACACTCTAACCATCTGAGCTACCAGCCAGGGCTTACCACCATTTTGCCAAACTTGTTATCCATCTTCTTTTCCATGAGCATTTTAAAGAAAATTCCAGACATTGTATCATCTTGCCTGTATCAACTGCAGACATTTTTACATAAAAACAATGTTATCACTTAACAAAAACAGTTTCTTTATGTTATCTACATTTGATTCATACGCCTCTTAAGACTCTTAATATCTAAGAGTTCCATTTCCCTTTTTTCAGTGCCATTTTATTGGTTGAGAAGCCAGGTAATCCTTCTTACAGAACTACCCACATTTTATATTTACTTGCTTTTAAAATTTGTTGTGCTATTCCTGAATTTTCTCTGAACTGGGAGTCAGATCTTGATATTACTTAGATCCAGGTTCAATGTTTTGGCAAGATGTCTTATTTTACCTCATTAACAGGCACAATATGTTGTCCTGTTTTTAAGAAGGTTAAAATTGATCAGTGGGTTCACATGTTGTCAAGCTGATCTATTCACAGTCAAGCTCCTATCAACCTTTCACTTAATGTTCTTAACCTCTACTAAGAATCCTGCCTAGTTCCATTAACTTCATGTGTTGCAAAATTCTCTACAAAAGAAATTACTTTTCAAATTCTTTTCCACATTCACTCCTTCAAGAGAATTTCATTTTAGAATAAATTTTCTAAAGTTTAACATGATTAAATGGTGATGAATGGCTTCTATACAGTCATTAACATATTCTTCCTTTAAAATAAAACTTGTTAGTCGTGAGCATGAAGTAAAAGGGATCCCTACATTAAAAAATTTTTCTTCTAGAATTTATTTTCTAGTGCTCCTTAACACAAAATTCACAATGGAAGGCTTTATAATTATTTAGCTACGTTATGAATCCGCTGATGGTAAGTAAGGTGTGAGTGTTGTCTAAATGCTTTTTTACATTCCTTACAATTGTATGGTTTCTCACCGGAATGAATTCTCTGATGCTGAATAAGTGATGAGTGAAGTCTAAAGGCCTTCCCACATTCCTTACAGTCATAGGGTTTCTCACCAGTATGAATACTCTGATGCTGAGTAAGCTGCGAGAGCAGTCTAAAACTCTTCTCACAGTCCTTACATTTATACGGCTTCTCACCAAAATGAATACTCTGATGTTGAGTAAGTTGTGAGAACAGTCTAAAGGCCTTCCCACAGTCCTTACAATCATAGGGTTTCTCTCCAATATGAACACCCTGGTGTGAAATAAGTTCTGAATAACGACGAAAGAACTTCTGACACTCTTTACATTCATAAGGTTTCTCGCCAGTGTGAATTCTCTGATGAAGAGTTAGATGGTAGCCACGACTAAAGGTCTTCCCACAGTCCTTGCAATCATAGGGTTTCTCCCCAGTATGAATTCTCTGATGGAGAGTAAGTTGTTGCCTCACTCTGAAGGCCTTCCCACAATCCTTACATTCATAGGGCTTTTCACCAGTATGAAGCTTGTGATGTATTCTGAGGCCTGTACTACACAAAAAACCCTGCCCACATTCCTTACATTCATAGCACTTCTCGGCAATATTAAGTCTTTGATGTCGAGTAAGGTGTGCATACTGTCTAAAGGTCTTCCCACATTCCTTGCATTCATAGGGTTTCTCACCAGTATGAATTCTCTGATGAAGGTTAAGTTGTCCTCGAACTCTAAAGGACTTCCCACATTCCTTACATTCATAGGGCTTCTCGCCAACATGAATTCTCTGATGTACTCGAAGATCTGCACTGCATGTAAAGATCTTTCCACATTTTTTACATTCGAGGAGTTTGTCAGGAGTATGAATTCTCTGATGTCGACTAAGGTGGGCACACTGCCTAAAGGCTTTACCACACTCTTTACATTCATAGGGTTTCTCACCAGTATGAATTCTCTGGTGGAAAGTAAGCTGTTGGCGTACTCTAAAAGCCTTTCCACATTCCCCACATTCATAAGGTTTCTCTCTATTATGAATTCTCTGATATAAAGTAAGAGATTTGAGTTTTCTGTAAGTGGGCCTTTTTTCAGAGGTGGGTTTTTTCACTTGCCTGAAATATCCCTTTTGAGGACCTTTTTGTCTCTCAAACTTTTTATATTCACATTTTTTTCTGAAAAAGAAGTCTTCCAGGTTACAACTTCTAATGTTTTCCATTATCTCCCACTGAGATAAATTCATTTCATAAATATCCTTTTGAGATAACTTTTTGGATTCCAAATCTGAAAAAAAAGAAAAGATAAATGCATGCTATTTTCTTATTCTAGAAAAAGTAAACAAGCAAATAAAAACTTTATAAGAGGAGGGGAAAAAAGCCCAGTTGAAGTAAATGGGCTAGAGAACTCTAAAATAATCGTGTAATTTGAAGAAAGTTAAGGGGAATAAGGAAAATGGTAAGACCACATTATTTGGGTGTAGATCAAAGTTTGAGAATCTCTACTTGAAAATTTTAATGATTTTTTTCAATTAGAATAAAGCACAAACACCTTACCATGAATAACACAGCCCGTTGACCATAAGATATTTCAAAACACTGACTGTCCCCTTGCTCCCTAAGTCCTATGTCATGATCTTTCCACTTCCTAGAGATTTTCACTAGCTATTAAAATTCACCAAAATGCTGACTTGGGTTCTCCACATGGCTGGATTCCTTTCATTCTTGAGCTATCATGTTAAATCAGAAAAATCACCCCTGCTGACTTCATCTAATTTATACCCTTTCTTTTCTATCCCAGTAACTAGTTTCTTGCTTAATACTTTTTTCAATGTTGTTGTTACACATTTGTAAATTTTCCTAGTTTTTATTCTCTTTATTTTCTTATTTAAACCTCCCCAAGGGCAGAAACAATCCTTCAATTATCATTGAAAAACAAATCCAGAGGACATAGTAACTGTCTATTCAATTCCCATAATTAGGTAAGATTTATTGCACACGTTGCCTTGCCTTCACTCTTACATCTTACTACACTGATTAAATATTCTTTTTCACCACTCCCTATAGAGATGGGAAACAAAAGCACATCTAAGCTATCTCAAATAAAATAAATGGAAAATGGTGATTTCTTTACATGTGATTATCCTTCCAACTGTCACTCTACTTTCACTTGCAGATGTCTCCATTTTCTACTTTGCATAGTCATGAGTAAACTTTCTCCTGATTTCATAACCAAGGTAATGAGAGGTTCTACTTATTTTCACTTGAGTTTATATAACTATGCAAAACTACGTTACAAATTTTCTCAAAATTTTTGCAGTAAGAGTTCAATACTTTTCAAAAAGAAAAAGGTATTTTTAAAAAGTCATAATACAGCAACATTATTTTTAATTTGCCCAAACTAGAAAGAAGTGTTCATCGACAGAAGAATTGCTAAATAAATTATGACATATTGATACAACACAATACTGTCCAGCAATGAAAATGAATATTCTACAAGGAAGTGCACACACATGATTCAATCCCACAAACATAATAGTGAGTAAAAAAAGACAGACATAAAAAAATATATACTGTATGACTACATTTTAATAAAGTCCCAAAACAATAAAACTAACCTATGGAGTTGTTAAAAGTCAGGATAGTGGGTGGGAAGGAATGACTAGGAGTTAGGAGGAAGCTTCTGATCTACTAATAAAGCTCTATTTCTGAATCTGATTATATGAGTGTTGATCACTGTGAAAATTCTGTGAGCCTCATGCTTACAATTTCTGTATTTTTGTATGCATGTGCATTTTAATAAGTTTACTTTAAAAGGATATACTAAAAAGATACTAAAACGTAAAAATGATTTAAATCCTGTGGGTGAAATGCAAACAGACAGATTAATGAATGGCACAGAAAATACTGCTATGACATCTGTGCATCTCTTTCTCCCTCCTTCCTCCTCTACCATTTGTTTGTCTCTATCTCCCCAGCTAAGCAAGCAATACAAAACTATGGCAATTTTGTCAGAATTTGGGGGGAGGGGGAAAGTCAATTCAAGGCCTCATTAAGATAAATACAATACAAATGATATATAAAATGACCAGTATTTAGCTAAATAATCATAACGGTAGTAAGTAAGTAGGCAGCTGTAAAGGTATGAAAAAATGTTCTTAAAATAATGTGGTAATTTCAAAGAATTTACTTGCAAATTAAAAATTAAGAACCAAGTAGAAGGGGTCAATGGGAATCTATTTGTCTGTGTTTATTGCTCGACTTTCCCACTACCATGCAAACTCTATGAAAAAAGGGCAATGAAGAAATATATACATTAAAAGGCCAAATACAAAAGATGAGCTAGAAAGGATATCCAAAATACAGGTAAAATGGTTGTCATTAGGGAGGAAAGCTTCCCCCATTGAAATGAGAGGGAAATATGAGTGAAGAAATAAGTGGTAAATGGAAGTATAGGTAAAACTGCTTTGGTGGCTCATGCTGAGCTCTAAGTTTTCTTCCCAGGTTTCAGGTCTTTTCTTCATAATCAACACCTAAGGAGTGTGTTTCCTTCCCAAGCAGCAGCACTACACCATGCCATAATGGCTTACCTCTACCTGATTAGCACTTACTCACCCAGGCTCCATCTTTTTTTCTCATCCCTCACAACCATCCAAGGTTCTTTCCCTTGCTCTAACAGGGTAATCACGTCTGGCTTAGAAATGGAACATCCTGCGTGGGAAAAAGGAACATAATAAAGAAAATATTTTCTTGATCAAGCTTCAGAACTAAGATGAATGGGATTAAAAACTATTCATATTAGAGTTATTTCAGGATCATAAGGACTAAGAACAGAGAGGTAGAAACATCATCTTATTTTAATTTAAACCATACAGATGGTCTCTTAAGAGGAAGTTAAAGACTGAGTGCAGTAGTTTCCAATCCTGCCTATCACCTGAGTGCTAGGGCCTCAGTGCTCTCAGTTGCTGAAAGGGAGTAATAACAATGTTGATCCATAATATTCTTGTGAGGTCTGACTTAATAAACATAAAGCGCTTCGATGAGTCCCTAGTGCTTGGTAGGCACTATGTATATTTATTAGGTACTATTTTTGCTATTTTGCTAAAAGGAAAATAATTAGTTTTTTTTTTGCCAGGATATTCATTCAATGGTAAATGCAAAGTTCATGTATTTTAAACTATTAATCATAAATCAATTAAAAGATATGTCTGTTGTAGTAAATTGAAAGTGTCCACTTGGGTTTTAACAGTTGATTCAATCCACCGTCATATATAAACTTCAATAGGTACGTAGAGCCAGACACCTTTGTCTTCCTACTCACACTTCAAGTTAGCAGATAACAGACTAGCTACAACTCTGGCTGGTGTGGCTCTGAAATCCAGTCCTGTTAATTTCTAAATTGTCTGACACAGATAAGCTTACCCACTGACACCAAGTTGCTATAGTTCTCTAATATCACATCTCTGTACAGATTCCTCTGATATGAGTTCAGGCATTCCCACTCTTCCTGAGAAAAGTCTACAGCCACATCTCTGAATATCACCAAATCCTGAAATGACAAACCCATGTATTATTTGTAAAATTATTTCTGACAAGGGCTAATATTTTAGGCTTTGCACGCCACATATGGTCTCTGTTGCATTTCCTTCCATTTTCCCTTCATTAAAAAAAATTCTTTCAAAATGTAATTAGCTCACAGGCTGTACAAAAACCGGCCATGGGTCAAATCTGGTTCACAAGCTACAGTTGCCCACCAGTGCTATAGTCAAAACTGCCTATGTACTGTGGGATACCTACTTTCATATATGTTCAGGTAATTATCAGAATTTCCCAATTAATTAAAATAGTGTTCATAAGAACACTGCTTGCAATGGGCCTAAAAAATTCTCAATAGATGTGATTTACCTTAACCTCTTTTCCTTCAAGGAATTTCTCTAATCATAAATTAATTAAAGATAGGGACAAAAAAGTTGATGGACTTCTTTTCCCCAAATGAACCATATAATATCTATTTTTAAAAAGTAGCATTTGCATAGAAGAATTTCTTTCAGACCTAGCTTCATCATTATGTTCTATCATTAGCATTTTTCCTTATTGTAACAAATTATTTATTGAATATTTTTAATTTAGTATACAATAGTTCATTTTATAGATATCTTAGACTTAATGATTATACTTTAAAATTAATTATGTTTAGAATTTAGATTACACAAAATCTCTAAAGTTGCAATGTCCAATATCCTAGCTTAGACACATGTGGTTATTGTCTAGTCCAAATTTAGATGTGCTGTAAGTATAAAATGCACACTAGATACTGATGACTTTCCAAAGAAAAAAGAATGTAAAATACCTCAATAATTTTTATAGTGATTACATTTTGAAATGCTGCTATTTTGGCTATATTGGGTTAAATAAAACATTAAAATTAATTGCACATTTCTTTTTACTTTTTTAAATGTGACTACTAAGAAGTTTAAGATTATGAAAATGCCTTGCATATTACTCTACTTTTTATGAGACTGACATGCTGCCTACTGCATGAAGGCACTATAATTCTACAGAACATTTAATGTGTGACTACTAGAAAATTTAAAATCACATATGTGGCTCACATTATAATTCTAGGACAGTGCTACTCTAAAGCATTCTCTAGTCTTAAGAGTCTCAGATCAAATATCTCCCTCTAGGGACTTCATTTCTGCTTTATCTCTGCTCTAGACAAAGACGAAACACACAGGAGATATTGAATAATTTGGTCACTTCACACATGGGCATTGATGGAGAAGAGAGGGGCACACAGGAGGGGCCTGGGCTGCTGGGCTCCATCCCTCACTAGAATGGGAGAGACTGGGGAGAGGCTGTTGAATGGGGCTCTATTAGGAAGCTTCAGGATAACTAATGAAAATGTTTACATAACCTGAAAAAAATTACATTTCATAAAGAGAGAAACGCGAACTTACATGAGGCATGATTTTAGAGTTGCAAGAACTGGTCAGTTTTCCTCATGGGTCATTCACTGGAGAAGCAGAGTCCACACAAGCCAGAGCTGGGAAAAGAACGGAAGCCTTAACAGAATTGCCTCAGAGCTCCAAATTTTAAAACCCCACACTATTTCTCCATGCAAAATCTTTACCCACCAAAACACAGAAAAGTTATGAGAGGTAAGAGGTAGTTTGGACAAAATATGTCCTCCCCCAAAGCTAGGAAAATCAACTGCATGAAGGCAGACAAAGAGCAGAGACTCTCCCGCATGGAAGCACACATCCAGACACTTCAGCAGGAGGCCTTCCAGTTAGTCCACTATAGGGAGGCTGATCTGAACCTAAGAAACGGGCTGTCCGCACCTGTCCTGAGCATATCCCTCTCCTCCTGCTCCTGGCTACACCATCCCACACAAACCCTGTCCACAGTTTCTGTGCTTCTAGGTTAACACAACTTTGAAATACACGTAACCACCTTCAAGAGAGCACATAATCTTGTTAAATATCCTGTAATTCTATCCTGCCTAGCTTTCTCCCACCTCCATGTAATCTTCCTTAAGTTCCCTCCTTAATTTCAAATACATAAAAGAAGCTGCAAAACTGATACTCTCCGGAGCATTTGAGATCTTGCTTCCAGCATACACCGGCAGCTTTGGCTTAAATAAACTCTTAGAAAATTCCCTAGAGGTCTGGATGTTTTTTTACATCAACAAAACAAAACTCATGCTATCAGACCTCTAACCATATCCAGCTGCTACCAAAAATTTCCACTTCATGAGTTCCCTTGGGGGGGGAAAAAAATTCCCACTCTAGAATGGTTAAAGATATCTAAACCCTAAACTACCCATTGACAAATCACAGTCGAAAACAAAGGATGAACATTAACTTCCAGAATGCGTATTTCTGTCATCAGAATCCTTAGGCAAAACGTTGCTTAGAGCAACTGAATCTACAGCACATGGGTAACCAAGTGTAGAAAGGCAGTAAGCGGACACTAGGAAAAGGAATTCATTAATTAGGTCCCTGCCCTTGGCTAAGGAGAGAAATTCTAGGGGCCACATCAAAGAGAATATTCTTAGGCAGGGGAATTCAAGGGAAGGAAATCAGAAGGTCCTGCGTCCTGAAAATCAAAGGCATCTCACGGAAACAAAGAAGCGGCACATAATCAGACAGAACCTGGCTTTCAGAGGCTCTGCGGCGATTCGTTTCACTTCAAAAAGCCTTCTCTGGAGACCGGCAGGACTGGGGAGCAAACCAGGTTCATCACACCCCAGGGTTTTCCTGACTCGGTCAAAACCCACCGGCCACGTCCTCTCGACCGTCCCACCTGCCCGCACAAACGGGGACGGGAGAAGGCCCGCGGTGGCCGTGCGGGGGTTCGCAGCGCTGAGTA